CACTAGCTCAGAAGGCACTAACCACTAGCTCACTACACACTAAACAATAGCTCACTACACACTAACCACTAGCTCACTACACACTAACCACTAGTTCAGTAGGCACTTACTACTAGCTCACTACACACTAACCACTAGCTCACTACACACTAACCACTAGCTCAATACACACTAACCACTAGCTCATTTGGCACTAACCACTAGCTCACTACACACTAACCACTAGCTCACTAGTAACTAACCACTAGCTCAGTAGGCACTAACCACTAGCTCACTTCGCACTAACCACTAGCTCACTAGTAACTAACCACTTGCTCACTACGCACTAACCACTAGCTCACTAGTAACTAACCACTAGCTCACTATGCACTAACCACTAGCTCACTAGTAACTAACCACTAGCTCAGTCGGCACTAACCACTAGCTCAGTAGGCACTAACCACTAGCTCACTACGCACTAACCACTAGCTCACTAGTAACTAACCACTAGCTCAGTAGGCACTAACCACTATCTCAGTAGGCACTAACCATTAGCTCAGTAGGCACTAACCACTAGCTCACTTCACACTAACCACTAGCTCACTACACACTAACCACTAGCTCACTTCACACTAACCACTAGCTCACTACACACTAACCATTAGCTCACTTCACACTAACCACTAGCTCACTACACACGATATCAGTAGGCACTAACCACTATCTCACTACAGACTAACCACTTGCTCAGTAGGCACTAACCACTAGCTCAGTAGGCACTAACCACTAGCTCACTACACACTAGCACACTACGCACTAACCAGTAGCTCACTGGTAACTAACCGCTAGCTCAGTAGGCAGTAACCACTAGCTCACTACACACTAACCACTAGCTCACTTCACACTAACCACTAGCTCACAACACACTAGCTCAGTAGGCACTAACCACTATCTCTCTTCAGACTAACCACTTGCTCAGTAGGCATTATCCACTAGCTCACTACACACTAACCACTAGCACACTTGTAACTAACCACTAGTTCACTACGCACTAACCACTATCTCACTAGAAACTATCCACTAGCTCACTAGTAACTAACCAGTAGTACAGTACGCACTAACCACTATCTCACTAGTAACTATCCACTAGCTCACTAGTAACTAACCACTAGTACACTACGCACTAACCACTAGTACACTACGCACTAACCACTAGCTTACTAGAAACTAACCACTAGTTCACTACGCACTAACCACTAGCTCACTAGTAACTATCCACTAGCTCAGTAGGCACTAACCACTAGCTCACTAGTAACTATCCACTAGCTCACTAGTAACTAACCACTAGTACACTACACACTAACCACTAGTTCACTACGCACTAACCACTAGCTCACTAGTAACTATCCACTAGTACACTGCACACTAACCACTATCTCACTAGTAACTATCCACTAGCTTACTAGTAACTAACCACTAGTACACTACGCACTAACCACTAGCTCACTAGTAACTAACCACTAGTTCACTATGCACTAACCACTATCTCAATAGTAACTATTCACTAGCTCACTAGTAACTAACCACTAGTTCACTACGCACTAACCACTAGTTCACTAGTAACTATCCACTAGTACACTATGCACTAACCACTAGCTCACTAGTAACTATCCACTAGCTCAGTAGGCACTAACCACTAGCTCACTAGTAACTATACACTAGCTCAGTAGGCACTAACCACTAGCTCACTAGTAACTATCCACTAGCTCAGTAGGCACTAACCACTAGCTCACTAGTAACTATCCACTAGCTCAGTAGGCACTAACCACTAGCTCACTAGTAACTATCCACTAGCTCAGTAGGCACTAACATCCAATAATGTTACGAGAATAAGACACCATTTTTGTTCTGAAATTGTTTATTGACTCGCAACTACATCTCATCATATTTGATATTATATAAAGTATTACTTTTTATTGACTTGAGAGTAACGGGCCTTGATTCACATAGGTCTTACAGGTTGACTGTCTTGATCTGTACATCCTCTTCAGTCGGATTGGCTTACCTAATTATTAACTAAACAGTTTGGGCACTAAGAAGTGCTACGAGGTCGTGCTTACTTGTAACTAACCACTAGCTCAGTAGGCACTAACCACTAGCTCACTATGCACTAACCACTAGCTCACTACGCACTAACCACTAGCTCACTATGCACTAACCACTATCTCACTATGCACTAACCACTAGCTCACTAGTAACTAACCACTAGCTCACTAGTAACTAACCACTAGCTCACTAGTAACTAACCACTAGCTCGCTAGTAACTAACCACTAGCTCACTATGCACTAACCACTAGCTCACTACGCACTAACCAATAGCTCACTATGCACTAACCACTAGCTCACTACACACTAATCACTGGCTCACTGGTAACTAACCGCTAGTTCACTACGCACTAACCACTAGCTCACTACACACTAATCACTAGCTCACTAGTAACTAACCACTAGCTCACTAGTAACTAACCACTGGCTCACTAGTAACTAACCACTAGTTCACTATGCACTAACCACTAGTTCACTAGTAACTAAACACTGGCTCACTGGTAACTAACCGCTTGTTCACTACGCACTAACCACTATCTCACTAGTAACTAATCACTAGCTCACTAGTAACTAACCACTGGCTCACTAGTAACTAACCACTAGTTCACTACGCACTAACCACTAGTTCACTACCCACTAACCACTATCTCACTAGTAACTATCCACTAGTTCACTAGTAACTAACCACTAGTACAGTACGCACTAACCACTATCTCACTAGTAACTATCCACTAGCTCACTAGTAACTAACCACTAGTACACTATGCACTAACCACTATCTCACTAGTAACTATCCACTAGCTCACTAGTAACTAACCACTAGTACACTACGCACTAACCATTATCTCACTAGTAACTATCCACTAGCTCACTAGTAACTAACCACTAGTTCACTACGCACTAACCACTATCTCACTAGTAACTATCCACTAGTACACTACGCACTAACCACTATCTCACTAGTAACTATCCACTAGCTCACTAGTAACTAACCACTAGTACACTACGCACTAACCACTAGCTCACTAGTAACTATCCACTAGCTCACTAGTAACTAACCACTAGTTCACTATGCACTAACCACTATCTCACTAAAAACTATCCACTAGCTCACTAGTAACTAACCATTAGTACAGTACGCACTAACCACTATCTCACTAGTAACTATCCATTAGCTCACTAGTAACTAACCACTAGTACACTACGCACTAACCACTAGCTTACTAGTAACTAACCACTAGTTCACTACGCACTAACCACTAACTCACTAGTAACTATCCACTAGCTCAGAAGGCACTAACCACTAGCTCACTAGTAACTATCCACTAGCTCAGTAGGCACTAACCACTATCTCACTAGTAACTATCCACTAGCTCACTAGTAACTAACCACTAGTACACTATGCACTAACCACTAGCTTACTAGTAACTAACCACTAGTTCACTACGCACCAACCACTAGCTCACTAGTAACTATCCACTAGTACACTACGCACTAACCACTATCTCACTAGTAACTATCCACTAGCTTACTAGTAACTAACCACTAGTACACTACGCACTAACCACTAGCTCACTAGTAACTAACCACTAGTTCACTACGCACTAACCACTATCTCACTAGTAACTATCCACTAGCTCACTAGTAACTAACCACTAGTTCACTACGCACTAACCACTAGTTCACTAGTAACTATCCACTAGTACACTACGCACTAACCACTAGCTCACTAGTAACTATCCATTAGCTCAGTAGGCACTAACCACTAGCTCACTAGTAACTATCCACTAGCTCAGTAGGCACTAACTACTAGCTCACTAGTAACTATCCACTGGCTCAGTAGTAACTAACCACTAGCTCACTAGTAACTATCCACTAGTTCACTACGCACTAACCACTAGCTCACTAGTAACTATCCATTAGCTCAGTAGGCACTAACCACTATCTCACTAGTAACTATCTACTAGCTCAGTAGTAACTAACCACTAGGTCACTAGTAACTATCCACTAGCTCACTAGTAACTATCCACTAGTACACTACGCACTAACCACTAGCTCACTAGTAACTATCCACTAGCTCAGTAGGCACTAACCACTAGCTCACTAGTAACTATCCACTAGCTCAGTAGGCACTAACCACTAGCTCACTAGTAACTATCCACTAGCTCAGTAGGCACTAACCACTAGCTCACTAGTAACTATCCACTAGCTCAGTAGGCACTAACCACTAGCTCACTAGTAACTATCCACTAGCTCAGTAGGCACTAACCACTAGCTCACTAGTAACTATCCACTAGCTCAATAGGCACTAACCACTAGCTCACTAGTAACTATCCACTAGCTCAGTAGGCACTAACCACTAGCTCACTAGTAACTATCCACTAGCTCAGTAGGCACTAACCACTAGCTCACTAGGAACTATCCACTAGGTCAGTAGGCACTAACCACTAGCTCACTAGTAACTATCCACTAGCTCAGTAGGCACTAACCACTAGCTCACTAGTAACTATACACTAGCTCAGTAGGCACTAACCACTAGCTCACTAGTAACTATCCACTAGCTCAGTAGGCACTAACCACTAGCTCACTAGTAACTATCCACTAGCTCAGTAGGCACTAACCACTAGCTCACTAGTAACTATCCACTAGCTCAGTAGGCACTAACAACTAGCTCACTATTAACTATCCACTAGCTCAGTAGGCACTAACCACTAGCTCACTAGTAACTATCCACTAGCTCAGTAGGCACTAACCACTAGCTCACTAGTAACTATCCACTAGCTCAGTAGGCACTAACAACTAGCTCACTAGTAACTATCCACTAGCTCAGTAGGCACTAACAACTAGCTCACTAGTAACTATCCACTAGCTCAGTAGGCACTAACATCCAATAATGTTACGAGAATAAGACACCATTTTTGTTCTGAAATTGTTTATTGACTCGCAACTACATCTCATCATATTTGATATTATATAAAGTATTACTTTTTATTGACTTCAGAGTAACGGGCCTTGATTCACATAGGTCTTGCAGGTTGACTGTCTTGATCTGTACATCCTCTTCAGTCGGATTGGCTTACCTAATTATTAACTAAACAGTTTGGGCACTAAGAAGTGCTACGAGGTCGTGCTTAAGCAAACTATTATTTTTAGTGACGACCTCGTTATCTATTAGATAAATACAAACTGAGGAGCCATGATGGAGGGAAGAGGGGCAGACACAGTGGTGTGGGAAGCGCTCAGTGAGTGGTGGCGGATGTTACAGGGTGCGATGATAACCACTCCTTGATCTGGGGAAGTTCGTTCACCTTGTTGACATGAGCCAGCAGGGCCGGGAACTTCCCTGCTCTCTCGGCCTCCTCTCTCCGTATCGCTCCATAAAATAAGCAGAGGACCAAGTCAGCCCAGGTGATCTGCCAGGAAGTGAGGCAATAATGAAATGAAACATATTTTATCGGAATTCGTACTTATTTTTCCATTTATATTTAATTTTTCTTGGAGTTCATTGAAGCTTGCCTTTATCAAGGATATTTTCTAAATTCCTATATTGTCATTTGACGTATGAGATCGCTGTTTTGAAAATTTACTTACAAATATAATATTATTGAACATTTCTGGTGCTATACAATTTTTTTATTTTAATTTATAATGGCATATAGTGAGTAGTGTACATGATGTATGAGCTATTTTTGTTTAATATGAGTTAAAACTAACGAAGATATATGACCGAACCTAACCAACCCTACCTAACTTAACCTATCCTATCTTAACCAAGCCTAAACTAGCATAATAAAGTTAATAATTTATCTTCTTATTATAGTAAAATAATAATATTTCAAATACCAATTGTTTTTTTTTTTGCAAATAAGGAAAATCACTCGCCCTATTAGGGAAATCGGGCCTTGCATAGTCAGCCGAGAAGTGCGTTCTGGCTACTAAGTACATATATATATATATATATATATATATATATATATATATATATATATATATATATATATATATATATATATATATATATATATATATATATATCGTACCTAGTAGCCAGAACGCACTTCTCGGCCTACTATGCAAGGCCCGACTTGCCAAATAGGCAGAGTGATTTTCTTTATTTCTCCACCGCCCCTCAAGCCTAACCATTTGGACTGGAGGGTAGATCGACGGTCTCGCTACATGCAGGTCGGCGTTCAATACCCGACCGTCCAAGTGGTTGAGCACAATTTCTTCCCACTGTCCCATCCCAATTCCTTATCCAGAGCCTTCCCAGTTCTATATAGTCGTAATGGCTAGGCACTTTACCCTGATAAGTCTTTAAGTCGCCAACCCCCACTTAAAAAAAATTCCATTTGAGTTACTTCAATTAATATTAGTATATTATATTAAGAACATGAATTACTGACTTAGTTATTTTAGTTAATGTTAGGTTAGGGTAAGTTAAGATAGCTTATGTAGGTTAGATTTGGTCCTATTTCATCGTTAGTTTTTAATTAAAATTAATAACAAAAATCATTTATAATATAATGGAAGCTTAATCATTTCATAAGAATTTTTCTTTACCTAAACGAGGATACAGAGTATACCTGTAATGGGTGATGACCTTAACCTTTACTAACGTAGAGAGTACCTTGTGGTGGGGGCTGACCTTACCTAGACTAAGGCACAGAGTATACCTGTGGCAGGTACTGACCTTACATACCTACCTTGTGGCTACCTTTTGATGGTTCCGGGATCAATGGCCCCGTGGCCCGGTCTCCGACCAGGACTCCCGGTTGGTCGTCTGGTCAACCTGGCTGTTGGATACCGGCTGCTCGCAGCCTGCCGTATGAATCACAGCCTGGTTGATCAGATATTACTTGGAGGTGTTTGTCGAGTTTTCGCTTAAAGACAGTGAGAGGCCGGCGAGATATGGTCCTTATGTGTAGTGGTAGAGTGTTGAACAGTCTCGGGCCTCCGTTGTTGATAGAGTTCTCTCTCAGAGTACGTATTGCACCTCTGCTTTTCAACGAGGGTATTTTACACATCCTGCCATGCCTTCTGGTTTTGATGTGATGTAATCACCGTATTCAGATTTGGAGCCAGTCCCTTTAAAATATTCCACGTATTGATTATTATGTATCTCTTGTCTGCGCTCTAGAGAATACAGATTTAGAACTTTTAATCGGTCCCAATAATTTAGATGACTTATAGAGTGGATCCTAGCAGTAAATGATCTTTGTACGCTCTCCAGGTCAGCCATTTCTCTGCCTCTGAATGAGGATGTCGATGTGCAACAATATTCCACCCTAGAGAGCACTCGATCGTGTCTTGAAAAGTATCATTGGTATGGCATGACCTGTTTGAACGGTCCTTATAATCCAACCTGTCATTTTTCTTGCAGTCGTGACAATTACTTTATTGTGCTCTTTAGAGGTAAGGTTTTTGACAGGATTACTCCTTGATTCTATATGTTGATTTTTCTTTCAATAGAGTGATTTAATTCCGTTTTTATATATGGTTTCAGTGTTAACATTTTCCTCTTTTTCCATAACGCAGGAAAACTATGGTAGAAAATGTAACTAACATCCCTAATCTAAGGCACAGAGTATACCTGTAGTGGGTCCTGACCTTACCTATAAACTAAGGCACAGAGTATACCTGTAGTGGGAACAGACCTTACCTAAACTAAGGCACAGAGTATACCTGTAGTGGGTACGGACTTTACCTAAACTAAGGCACAGAGTATACCTGTAGTGGTTACGATCCTTACCTAAATTAAGGCACAGAGTATACCTGTAGTGGGTACGGACCTTACTTAAACTAATGTAGAGAGTATACCTGTGGTAGGTAAACCACAGGTACTTTACCTAAACTAAGGTAAAGTAACTTGTGGTAGGTACTGACCTTACCCAAACTAAGGTAGAGAGTATACCTGTGGGCGGTAAACCCCAGGTACTTTACCTAAAATAAGAAAGAGAGTATACCTGTGGTGGGTACTCACCTTATCAGAGACAAACCATTGTTTCTCGCTCAGCCGCTTTTCAAGGCGCGTCATGAAGGGATCAATGTTGTTAGAGAAGTAATTATCCTTCAGCTGCTTCTGCTCGTCACTCTTGCCTGGGAACCTGCCACACCAAGCATTATT